ATTGCAGTCTGGTGTATCCAGTTGCCCTGATGGTCGCATTGCTTCACTGTGGTATCGGGCGTCTGCTCCGACGGCGGCGCGGCCGCTGCAGTGTGCTTCTGCGGGAAAGGGCGCGGGGCTGTCTTGCCAGCGCGGCGTCGCAATGCCTGCCATCAGTCGACGCCGACGTTCGCGATGTAGGCATGGCTGATGCCTCGGGATTCGTCGGGCTTGTTGAACGCAAAGTGCACGACCTTGACGTCGGCCAGTCCGATCGTGGTGCTCCAAGTGGCGCTTTGGTAGGGGATGCGAAGTTGGCTTGCGATCTGTCGCACTTTCACCAACGCTGCCTCTGCCTGCATTGCGATCTGGGCTCTCTTATCGGCTGGTAGCGACGCAGTGTCGTTAGGCTTCAGCAGAATTTGCCTGTCGCCTTTCGAATATTTAGCTGATGTCGAACTCGTTGCCTTCGCACAGGCAAGTCGGAAGAGCGGGGCTGAGCCCCGGGTTCCAATTTTGACCGCGGCGAGGGGCGCGCGCGCATTTCATCCCACCGCGCTGGCCTTCTTCAGGCGTCGGCAGAAGTCGCGGAGATCGCGCAGAGTTCACGGGGTCTCGACGCCGCCGCTCAGTTCCTGCACGTACATGCGTAGATCGGGTACCTCGCGCTGATATGCGATACCAGGCCCCCTGCAGGCCGCGCGATGCACGCTGCCCCGTGGAATTTGGAGACGCGGGGCGTTTGTCAGCTTCTTCTGCGCCGCCGCCGCGGTCTTCGGCATCGGCCTCTTGGGCCAATGGCGGTGTGAATTTGAAGGCGCCAATGAACTCCCACTTAAACGCATCTCACATGATCCCCTCCGTCACAGCCCCAGCATTTATGGGCCGTGCCTCATGGGGCCGCGATAAAGAACACTTGCCGTCCTGCGAAATGGTCGCAAACCTCTCTAGCTCTTTCTCGGGGATAGGCGCGCTGTGCCAAAAGCACCTTGGTCCCTGCGACGCGTGGCCGCATGTGAAGCTCACAAACTTTCCGTTGCCTTCGCATGGAGGCTCTTGCCCTGCTGAATCCGCCACCATCTTATCGTTGAGCCGCTTGATTGCATCAAATGCTGCCGCGTTGGGAGGCGGGCACTCGGCGCGTGTAGGCATCCACAAATGCTTGTACCTAAACACGTTGCTGAATATATTGGAAACGAGATCCGTGGCATCACTGGGTACAATGCCATCCTCATATCGGTTCCCCGTATCGACGTACATGTGCCTGGTATGTATTTTCTCTCTCGTCAATATATTATGTGATTTGGCAACGTAGTTCGCCTGCTCATGCAACGACACAACCTCCGCATCATCTTGTCAAATGCACCCGCGATGTCGCGCATGCGAAGCCTGCATTTGTCGAGTAACATCGCCACGCGATCCGTCATCTTGCAAAATGTTTCGAGCAATGTATTACACAATGTCCCGTACACGAAATTCAACTTAGTTGTATTGAGCCTCGATGTTCCACGTAGAAAAGACAACATGCATTCAATAATGCTATACTGGCCCACGATTGCCAAGATCCTGAACATCGAAATCATTTGCATGCGAACTGTAACATCGCGGCCCTGAGCGCTTGCGCGTGTGAAAATGGAGGCGGTGCACTTGCGAAACTCAGCTTTGCACTTGCGATTTCGGCACGCATGTTAAAGTTATCGGAGTTAGCAACTTGTTTAACTCGAGTTAACTGGATGGCCAGACTTATAAACGTTATAACCTGTTATCATGATTATAACTTGTTATAGCTGGCTTATAACAACTTCTAGCTCTTTTACAACTAACTTACAACCACGGCTAACTGTTATAAATCGGCTGGGCCTTGAAGCAGGGGGGGGGATTTTCGGAAGGGGGGGCCCTTGGGCTCCGGAGGAAGAGGGGGAACATTTTCCACAGTAGACCGGCGGTGGATCACGCTCTCTCTTATGTATATGTATACTCATATATATAGACCTATATATATGTATGTATATGTACATACATACGTACACACATATGAATTTATGTGTACATACGTACATACATACACACATATGTGTACACCCAAGTTGGATAGTGTTTCTATACTGCTCGGGGCATGACGGGCGTCATGGCTGGCTCCGGCCCCTTTCCCTATGACGTGACGCTCCCCCCCCAATGCGTTCCGGGCAGTGCCGCCATGCGCATCGGGATCCGCATGGGTGTCCACATCGGAAACCGCATAGGAATTTGGTCCGCTGTCGTCGTCGTCTTCGTCGCTCGTCGCTCGTCTCTCGTCGCTGTCGTGCGCGCAGACGCGGCTGGAGTTTGGTATTTTTACCAAAAGATATTCCGGGCCGATGACGGCAATGATTTGGGGGGAGCGGGGGTGGAACGGGCCGATGACGTCACGTTTCGCGCCGGCGGTGTCTAGGAATGCTTAAGGTTTAAGAATGACCGAGGACGGGTAGCAACAGCATGTAGGTGGCGGTTTGCAACACAGCGCCTGTGCATACCAAAGTGCCTGCGTGCACCACGGTGCTTGTGTACACCACACCGCCTGTGTACACCACAGCAGCCGCCAGCAGCACAGCGCCAGTGCGTGCCACAGTGCCTGCGGGCACCACAACGCTTGTGTACACCACAGAGCTTGCGTACACCACATCAGCCGTGTGCAACACAGCACCAGTGTACGCCACAATGCCTGCGTGTACTACAGCGCCTGTGTACGTACACCACGGCGCTTATGTGCACCAGAGTCACCGTGTGCAACAGAGCACCCTTGTTGCATACATAATTTCAGAAAAAAATATGTATGACGGAGTTGAACACTTCAGAATACATGTTTTGTATAGTGTTTGGAACGGAATCATTGGCTTGATTTGTATTGCGGGCTCAGGAGAAACATTGTTTTGTATAGGTTTTGGATCGGAATCACTATGGAAAAAAAGGCGCCGATGGAATCTACGAGTCCACCCGAATCCGCAGCATCATCCTAATTCCTCCCATCTGCGTCCAAGAAGTTCCAGCAAAATTGGCCGTCCGAGAACCAAACGGTCTACTTCAATAAACCTATCTGCGGTGCACGGTGGGATGCGCACGCGCACTGTAGCGCCGACCCGCACGACAGGGGGGGAGGGTGAGGGAGGAGGAGGAGGAAGAAGAGGCGGAGGAGGAGGAGGAGGAGGAGGAAAAGGGGGAGGAGGGAACGGGGGAGGAGGAGGAACAGGAGGAAAAGGAGGAGGAGGAGGAGGTGGAGGTAGCAGAGGAGGGGGGAGGGAAAAACGTCCCATTCCATTATCAGCTTTCCTTGGCGTGACGTTTATTTGTCTGCAGCTGATCCTCACCTACATCCTCTTTCTGCCTGTCCTGTGCACGCAGGCGCTGTTGTGTACACCGGCGCTACGTTGCACGCGGATGCTGTGGTGTACACAGGCGCAGCGTTGCACATGGCTGTTGCGTTGTACGCAGGCGCTGTGGTGTACACGCGCGCTGTGGTACACGCGAGCATTGTGGTGTACAGAGGCGCTGTGGGGCAGATCGCCACCTACATGCTGCTCGCGTCGTCGTCGCCCGTCGCTCGTCGCTCGTCGCTCGTCGCTCGTCGCTCGTCGGTCATCGTCGTCGTGCGCGCGGGCGCGGCTGTGGTGCCGGAGCCACACGGCGTGGAGGGGCGTTACGTCATACCCTCCCCCCCCAGAACGCCCGTCATCGCCGAAAATAATGAAACGCTCTTTTACTACACATCATTCCATCATGTAGACCGTCTCGATGAAATTGCAAACGGTTGCGTAAACAACAACGCACGGTGTTGGCAGCGATATCGTTATATGCGCACACCTGTACCCATCAAAGATTTCATTATATATGATATGGTTTGTCTCTGTCACGATACTCGGGAACCTTGTGGCCGCGGCCACGGGTGTCATTTGGAACTTGCAGCGGCGTACCTCTTCCGATCGCACAGAGCAGTTATGTCCATGGTCGGCGTATGTTGATCGCCATGGTTGACGGAGATGCTTTTGCGTGACCGGCTTCAGCAATCACAACGCGTGTCGTCTTAGCTTTGAAGCCAGGTTGTTCCGTGCGGGAGGAGGATCAACGAAGAAGAGGATGAGGAGGAGCAGCAGTAGGAGGACCAGGACGAGGGATGAGCAGGTAGCAGGAGGGAGGCTGGCGGCAGGAGGGCGTTCTTTTCAGTGAACGCATGTGTAAGTAAGGCGACGTATCGACCCTCCCGAAGCGTAAGTAAAGTGCGGACGAATATTTTTGTGCACACGTCTGACTGGGAAGTCGGTGCCCGCTGCTTGCGCCCAGAGCGTAGAACGCCAATTCCAAGCGTGCAACGCGGTGCTTCTGCGAACGCAGCCGCGCAAATTGCACAAGAGCAGACGTCTTGTCAGGCGTCATGGGGTGGTCCGTGTCTAGAGAGCTCGCATAGAAGATTTACCACCTTTGTGGCTAGCATCTCGGTCAGGGAGGGATCATGCAAAACTTGGCGAGTTGGCGTCATGCCTCCTTTGCAAGTGCATCCCTTTCTTTCTCTTGGTCATCGTTCTCCTCCTCCGTTCTTTTCTCTTTCTTTTCCCCTTTGCAGAAAGATCGTCGCTCGAGCGCGGCGCAGACTCATCAGTTCGATTCCCAAAGGTCGAGCAGCTGACCGCACTCTGAATGCTGTCCAGTAAAGCCTATACGCGATGATGTGGCAGGCGGCAAGGACGATCTTAACCCCCTGGCGGCGCTCCTGAGCGCTCCCTGCCGCGGTTCGTTCGCATCGTGCTCATGTTTTGTTTCTGATTGGGCCGAGGGGCCGACGAGCCGGACACACAAAGCATCACCGGGGGAATTCCGAGCTTGTTCCTGCTCCTTCCCTCTCCTCTCCAATTCAGTCCCTTCGCCTTGAATGCTTCCACAGACCCTGCTAAAAACACGCGCGTGCGCGCAGCATGCTCGTAAGTACCCGTCCACAACCGCGAAGTTCCACTGCCACATGTTCCACCTAAGTGCAGCGGCATGTGCGCAAG